GAACATATACTCACAAATAATAAAAGTTTTCATGACTCGTGCATCTATTTGTACCTAGTCTTGTTCACTAATTTAAAACAATGCAGTGACTTGTTATTTTGTGTAAGGTTCTACAGAACCCCAGCTGAGAAGCACTGTGGCAGATGCAGTAAATTTAAAAGAATGCTTAATAAATATTTTAATAATAAAGGCTACTTTGTTTTCTTGTGTGTGTGTGTGTGTGTGTTTAATTTAGTGGATAGGATGGCTTAGTTGGACCAAAAGGTTCCTTGTTGTCCTTTAATTTTATGTTAACTAATGGAGCATCATATATTACAATCTCAAATGACTAAGAAATTTTCAGTAGTCATTCCTCTGCTTTGATTTTGAATAGGGTAAGGCCAACAGACAATTTGCTGGAGACACTAATATCTAAAGAATTAAACCTAAGAAGAAGAAGAAAAAACATTTAGGAACTTTAGAGCCCAACCTGCAATTTTTACATCAAAGAATATGTTGGTTCAGAAACAAATTCTTACACAGTTTCTTGTAATATCGACAAGGGAATTCTCAAACTCAGATGTGTGAGGATTTTTAGATTGGGAAGTCTTTCTTAGTCAAATGTTTTCCTTCAGTTGTATCAATATGTACAAAGAATTTTAGCTTTCAAGAGCATCACAAGAAAAAGTCTTGGAGATTTAACAGCTCAAGCAAAATGAACTTTCATTCTATACAGTTGCCATGGAAATCATCAAATGATTATGAGAACCAACCACTGCTGGAGTTTAAAACAATAAAAGAAGACATTTATTAACATAACTTCTGTTTATTTGTTGCCCAGGCAGTTTTAATTAAATTTCTGTTGAGACAATTAATAAACAAACTTAAGATTTAGATTACTACAATTCTTAATCAGATAATTTTGTTTTTAATTCTTATGCGCTCTGTTATATTGATTAACCCAATGTAGAAAGGGACATCAAGACACAATACTTTGCAAGTTATGACAAAACCTATTTATATCAAACCCCTAAAACACATCCAATACCATTAAAGTTAATGTTCAAATCTCACTGCAACGTACATCCAGCATGGCTATTTCTGGGTGATTCTCTCCACAGATGAGCAGAGCCAGATATCGAGAACGGTAAAGAAGTTTTAAAGCTGTGCTTACTTGGGAATTAGCGAAACAGTACAATGCTAGGTTAGTCTGTATAGAAGAGAGGAAAAATACACAGGTAATCAGAGAAGGTATATAAGTAACTTGACAAATATCTCTGCAATACTGCAAAACTAATTATTAAGTATTCTAAAACTATTATAATTGCATTTACACTACTGGACAAAATTTTGATCATAATACAGTTAATACCTTGTAATAAGCAAACTTATAAAAAGTAATGCTGTTGTTTGTACAATTTCGTAGAAGTTTATACGTTACGAAACACTATAATAAATTTAGGACAATATGTAGGTGAAAAAATCAAAGACAAAAATATAAAGCCCTATAACCTGAGTGCTTTCAAATGGGAAACCTTTCTTCATCAGTTTGCTTATGATGAAAAAAATCCATCTTTCAAAAGCAGTGTTGTCATATAGTTTTGTATTTCTGTCCTAAACTTTAGTTGAGGTACTACACAAAATATTTACAGACACTGTGAAAAAGATCAGTGTTATATGTTCTGTTACAGTTTTAGTACCCTAAGTGAAAACCAATAAACCATATTCCTCACAATATGCTAACTCACATATTCTGTAATGTTGTAGGGATGATCGATACCATTCACCCTCTCACTCATCAGTACTGCTTTCTGCTGGTATTCAATAGCCTGATAAATCAATATAATTCACAATTAACTATGTTCATATTGAATTTAGCCACTTTAAAGAGTGTGTCTGAAACATTCATAACTTTTACAAACTAAAAACTTAGATTACGACATTTTTCATAACAGTTCATGTAAAATGTATACCAAATAAAAACTTTATCTTGAATTGACAAACAATGAATATAAAGTAAACTTATGGGGAAGAATTATCTGGCAAAAACAGTGTCTCTCCATTGACCACAACCATTTCAACTATTTAAAATGATTTATCAAACCTTCTTGAAATTCCCTAACTTTCACTTTTGTTAAAACAGAACTTCAACATTATTGTAGAAAAAAAAAAAGAGATGAAAAACTTAAGTTCTGTTTCAATTCATGATGTAGTGATTTTGAAAAAGAGTTCACTGCTAAAACATGTATACTTAAATCTGTCAGTATTGGGCCAAAACATATACTTACTTCTGTGTGATCCCCCATTATATAGTTAAGTCGAGCCAACATTCTGAGGCATTGGGCTATTTCTGGGTGCATGACTCCATACACATTGTTCAACAGGTTTAGAGCTTTGGTTATTAGTTCATACCCTTCCTTTAAAAACCCCTGTTGGATCTTGTTCTGGCCTGTAGTGCAGAAATTATAAGCATCTGTGGCCTGAAATAATCAAGAAATATCTAACTGTACTTATTACAAATGTTTTTCTGTTATTCAAAGGTAGTTGTGATTAATATACACAGAAATGAAGACTAACTTCCTTTATTTCTCAACCCGGCAGAGAAACTCTTAACGTTGCATTTTTAACAACTTTAACTTAAGTTTAATAAGAGGTTTAAATGATTATTAAGAATTACCGAATCCTTCGTTTTGGAAGAGAAACTGTTCATTTGTAAAGCTTAAGTAGCTTCTCAGCTGTCTGAAGAACCCCATTATTGGGTGAAAGGCCTCGTTACCAATGGATATAGCAGATATAGTATGGTTAACATATTATTATACACTCTTCATTATTTTCTCTCAGAAGTTCTTATTAGTAACTACAATTAATCCACTATATTGTACACATACAAAGTTCTGTAGTCATAATCTACACAGTTTGATTTGGTTAATACACACATTATCTAGAATGTGAGGGTATATATAATCATCTGAGTTATGGTCTGCAAGTCTTATTGAAAATATAAAGCTCCTTACCCTGGGGTTAATATGCTTCACCACAGGAAACACGTTCAAGATATCATCTTCTGTAAATGCCGAACGACTGTGATTATCTAAACTGTACTCCTTCAAGAGGATCTGAACACCACACTTCATGCAGAAGGAGCGAAGAAGTGAGATTTTCTGGATGCCATAGTGTTCAACAACTGCATCAACACATTCCACTTCTAGTGTCCAGTTATAGTATGATTGAAGTTCTGCTTTTAGGTTACTCCAGAAGGATCGAGGCGTAAGCACTGTCCACTCATTATTATCTAAAATGATGCCAGACCTTGCATTACCAGATGAAAATGCGGTAATCTTAGTAACTCAACAGTTTTTCATTTTGACACTATCACAAAACCAACAGAGAAACCTCTAAAACAGGTCAGCTTTATAGTGAATTATATTTAACAGCAATTAATCTTATCAAGAATTTAGAATATTTTCAACCACTGGTTTGCAACTTTTTTCATATTGTATATCCCAGCAGACCTTCAAGACAGTGGCATATTGCTAACATATTAAAATACAACATAAAGTGTTAATAAATGCATTAGCTCTATAGTGTCCTAATGCAAATTGACAAACATAATATGATTTGTTTCATAATATTTAAAAAAGTAAAAAAACTCCTGAGTAAAATTCTTTGAATCTTGAGGTGAACTTTCTACAGAGTATGTAATTTCTGTAAAATAAAATAGGCTATACGTGGTATTTGTATGAATTCTCAGACTTTGCAAAATGTTTTAACATATTAAAGATGCTTAGCTTTCTTGCAGCTTTTAATTACTGAATATTAATTCTTACTGCATTATTGTAAAGCTTTGAAATATATATATATATACACATTTTTATAAATCTAAATTTTCTTTGTTTTGATTAAAAAAACATTACATGCAGTGTCATTGCTTTTACAAACAAGAAAAATAACTTTCTTTACCATATCAAAATTATAAGCAAGCAGACTTTTCTTAACTGTTTATTAGACAGTTCCATTTACATATTTATTTAATGTTTCTTTTCAGTTATGTTTTCCCATTCAAGCAGTTACTTTGTTTATTAAGGCCTACTGTAAACAAAGCCTAATAGAATAGCTGCCTTATTGGCAAAATGATATAACTAAGCCTAACAATTTTCAACCCGATCTTGTTCCACAAAATTATTTCATCATACTTCCATATCTTAATTCAAATAAAGTAAAAATAATAAAACAAGGTTTAAAAAAAAAAATCAGGGCCATAATTGAAGCAGAAATTGTTCACAAACTATTTTTCTACAAGCAACATATCACCAAGCTAAGCTATTATCTGTTCTGATCTCTTCTGAACTGGAAGCCATTTCAATTTATAAAGTTGAAAGAACAGAAAAAGAGATTTCATGATTTGTTTAAATCACTAACTAATGGCTCCTTAAAAGGTTCAAATTGATGTCAAAAACTACTTCAATTTTCCTTCTAGGGGGCCATATTATGTTCAGAAAAATTCCTGGATTTTACAGTCACTAATATTTTCATTCACAGGAGGCTAAAATCACCCTCAATTCAAAATTTGTGTAATTAACAAAAAAAAAAATTATGTATGAAATTAAGTAACTAAGAAAAAAGTACTGAATAAATTTCAAATCTGAAGTACTTACAAAAATGTTGTGGAAAAATGATTACAATTTCATTTATTCTATAAATCAGTAGTGCAGTTTTACCCTTAGTTTGGCACCATACAGTTGAACACCATTTATCTGAGACTAAACTAGTAACTTATAAGAAAATTAATATTTTGCTTTGAAAATAAACAATATTTTCTTATGCCATTTTTTTTTGGTTGATCAATTAAACATACCTTGAACAAGGAAAGAATTCTGTTTATTCTTTCGTTTTCCCTTTCGTTTTGAGTTCCTAAACTGAAGCTGAAATAAAAATTAATAAATCCAATTTTTTTCACCTATGTTCAAAACTACTTAGAATCTTTGCACTTTCCGGTCATTATTAAAAAGTCATTTTTATAGTAAATTTAAAAATATTTTATTAGATAAATATTCAAAGAGGAAAAACCTTTTTTGTCACTAGAGGTAGGTAGGTACCTTTAATATGCAAGTTAAATTTATTCAGTATAGCTGGGACTGGAAAGATTAACTTCAAGTAGCTGGGCTTGTATCAGTTATCCTGTGCTATACTTGAATAATGTGACAATATGAACTACTTAAGGTAAGTCTTATAGTTCTTTTAAGATCTTTTTTTTTAATAAGACATTTTCAAAAAAGGGTAAAGGTTGGGAGTAGCATGTAGTATAATTATCAGGGTGGTATTTATTCTACTTTAAGGATTTTTTAGAATTTTTAAAGGTGGAGGATGGTAGGCATTGTTTAGTAGAAACATATTTTTGGGGTTGCTTAATTTTATCTTATTTCTACTTTTAACTTTATTACATCTTTTTAAGGGTAACTGTAGACAGTGAAAGGCAGTAAGAGTTGAGACGTTGTGGGTGTAAGCATTCAACTCTGTTCCATTAATGAATTTTCCTCGAATGCTGACTGGTTTCTCATCACCATCACTTTTGGGTGCTATTACCACAGGCAATCTCTGTTATGACTTTTGGATAACAACTGGAAAATGCGAAGGTTTTTTGTTTTAAAAAGAGTTTTGAATTTATATTAAGTTCATTACTGTTTTATAGTGTTGGTCTTGATCGCTTATTGACAATTAATGTAACATATAATAGTTTTGAAAATATAACTCTTATTATATATATATATAAACACACACACACTTTATTTTCCTTCTACAAAAGTTGAAGAAAAAGATAATAAGATCGAACCTCTTCAGCACCAATTGGGGCAGGGAGGGTTAAACAAGATGACAGAAAGCAGTTTAAGAAGTGGCTGATCGCTGCTGCCAGACTCATTGTTTCTACAGCTTGCAGATAAGCCATAAACTGGTGTTTGGCAGACCGAGAAATGAGCTCTTGAACACTGATTGCCTAAATGATACAAGTATGAGAAATTAACACAAGAAATAAACAACCTTATAACACCAAAATGTTTTTATTTAATTACACACTCAATGTTTCTATAAACCAATATGTACTACATAAATTAAATACTAAGTTTTAAAAATGTTCACAAACATTTTCGTATACAACTGCTTTATACAACTTAAGTTATTTGATTTTTGTAATCAGCATTACCTCAAAGTTAATCTTTGTTTAGAGAAATACATCCTTACATTTTTTAATTTCTTAGATTGGTTTCTGCAAAATCTTAGTATGGATTCCAGTGGCGCCATCTGTTAGCAACAGTATATTCAATACTACAAGAAATTAAAGCATACTGCAACAGACGAATCTTTGGAAAATAAACAACTCACATAAACATACTGTAACTGAGGGATCTTTGCCAGCATCTCTGCCACTTTGCCCAAGTAGCGTATGTTGATACCTCTGTAAATTTTAATAATACACAATGTTACTCCAGTATGAAACAATTTTGTAATATAATTTTTCAATATACTTTCTATAATTTCAAAGAAAACAGTTACTTTATTGTATTTTAAAACAAATACTTCAGCCTAAAAGCTAGTTGTTTGGAGAGTTGTTTTTTTTGTTTGTTTTGTTTTCATTTAAATGATCAAGTTCACTGCTAGTCTAAATATATAACTATAATTAACTATTTTAAGAACTATCTGTATAATGCACCATGTTAAATATATTTTTGGGTTATAACTGAAAAGTTTACATTACTTAGAATATAAAACAGTAGTTCTGAATACCATAACAAAATCTTAATAAAGCCTAACCTGCTGTGTAAAGCCTCAGTAAGTGTTGTACCATCGATTGGTGAGGTAGAATGTTCTAAGCAGTCTCTGATCTGATTAAACAAAAAACAAGACAAGTTAAACCATGTGTACTGTGCTTCATTTAAAAACCAAAGCTGTGCTAAAGTGTATCAATTTTCATAGATCAGTACAAAAAAAATGTTTTGAATATTCAGTACATCTTACCACTTGTTTCACTGAACTACAAAACATTAGTGCTAAATTATAAAAGTTCAAAAATGAATGCCAATTGTAATCAATATAACACTAATCAAATAACAAAAGTATTAAATTAACATAATGTTTCTTTAAAAATCATTAAATTACTAAACTACAGCTTAACAGCATTTTAGAATTACTCTCAATTTTATAAAATAAACACCTCAATAATGTTTTAAAATACAGTAAGTGGAGAAACAAAAAAACAGCAGTGATCTGTTGTGCATAAGTTTCAAATGTATGAATTCAATTTGTAATGGCAATTATTTCACATCTTTCCAAAGTGTGTATTATGCATGGTTTCAATCAATTAAGCTGTTCAACCAACTTTTCTTATAAAATTTAAAATAGCATATTGGCTGATGACATTTCTTCAAAATATTAAGCTTAAGGAACAATACAAACTTACAAAACTAGGAATCTGAACAGTAAGTAAGAAGTATGCAGCATCTTTGACTAACTGCTGTTGTTTTTTCAGATTTTCTTTCTGTTAAAAACAAAATTTCATATATATATATAAAACATTTGAGCATTTTCAACATAAACAAATAAAGCAGTAAACATTATCTAAAACATCTAGAAAATTTATTTAAGTTAATCTAAGAAGCATACATATGTACAATTATTTCAGCCATATTTCATACACTTGTGTTTACATATAAATCTAGTTTTAAGCTCCTTCTCATAAATTATAATAGTGTAAATAAATTTTAGTTATAAAAATATCCATAAATTCTATGTTTAAAACTTTAATGCTTCTAAAGTTACATAGCTACTAGATAACAACTGGTAACGAAAAAAAAATATCAGGACCTTGATCTTATGTTTATAAATATTAAACAGTTAAATTAGCATGAATAGTCTAAAGTTTATGATAAAAGAAGTTTTATGACAAACCTCAGTTTCAGGATGCTGAACTCCTGGATTATATACATCGGGATTGAAGCGGATATCATATTCTACAAAGGAAGCAAAAAATGTTCTTAGTACTGAAAATATTATGACCCATTCTATAATTCTCTATTTCATAACCCATTCAGTATATTTTCTTTTGTAATTTGACTAATATAATCAGAGATATTTCTTATAGTAAAAACAGTGACATATTTTAAGCCTTTCCTTGGGCTAGTTTGGATTGTTCATCAAATGTTTGTTTTTCATTTACAAGTTGAAAGTTTTCTTTAAATAAAAAAATTTATAAAGTCAACATATGAAATATAAAGGACATATAAAAAAAAATGTGTGTAATATGATGCATATTTTAGGTAGCCATCAATTAGTGAAATGTTTTTGACAAAATTAGCATTAAAGATTCTCTCTCTCTCTCAAAATGAAAAACAATACTACTTTATCAAATCTCATTATGTTTACCACACATTCTTAAACATACTAAAATCACAGAGAAATTTCCAAGCAAAGAATAAAAACTGCTGCTAATTTAACATAAATTGCTGACCATTAAGTTAATTTCTTTTAACCAAATGTGCACAAGGTCGGTTTATTGGACGACCCCCAAACTGGAGACTACGATTCCAAACTTACTATGTGCATCTGTGTAGAATGTGGAAAGGTTTTGGTCAAATGTACATAAAAAATAAGATATGTTACAAAAGTATTTGTGCTCAAGATATGAATTGAAGATGTCAGTCAGACTCTGACAAGTTGGAGTGCAGGGTGACAGTCATGTGATGAATAAAATATGCATTTGTCTAGCATACTGTTTGAATGTTGTATTTGCATAACCTATAGAACCTCCAAAATGCTTATCTACAGTTTCTTTCAGTATTCCTGTATATTGTAAATAGTATTCAATCTCCTCTACCACAAGCTGTCACTAAACCATCAGCAGTGTAGGGTGTCATGAACAGTTGATAACTCTGACATGTTGATTGGCACTCTGTGAAAGGTTGTGGCATGTATACTTTGACCCGTACCTGTGCACATACAGTTAAGAAGATCTTATAGAGTTCAAACTCAAAGTTGAAGCTAAGTATATTATAACTTAAAACGTTAGAACTACATATATTTTATTATTAACATTTGGTTTTTACATTTGTATTTCACTTTAGGTTCTTATTCTGTAATAGAAATTATTAAAGGTTTAAATATCTTGCCTGATTCCTTCAAAGATCCAACAGCTTGAGCAGCTTGTTTGATAATTTCTTTTGTATTGTCTACTGGAAAAATAAATCTTGAATTTTATGTATAATAAGCACATTTGCTGTTTCTTTGTTATTAATAAAGCTTGGAACATGGTGTAAAAAATATTAATTTTTGGTTAAATATGGTAAACAAAAACTACAGCAGTTTACTGAAATCCTTCATATAATTGAAATTCAAAAAGCATCACTAAACCTTTCTTTTACATTTAGAAGTATTTTATTTGTGTTGAAGCTCATAACTATTTATCACATGTCTTCAATGTTTATGTTCTTTCATAAAACTACATAGTAACTTAAAGGAATATCTGCTTATAGTCACTAAAACCTAGAAACAATCTAGCCCTAAAATCTGATCAAAATTAAATTACTAAAAACCAATTTAGTTTTAACAATGAATGTGAGAGATGTCTCAAATCGAATTAACGTAATTTATTGAAAAACAGTGCAATAATATACAGTAATACAATGATTCACCCAGCATATAACATATAACCTGAAGATATCAGTGAAATGTTATATTGGTGTATATTTCTATCACAATAAAATGCCATGATTTTCACTATATTGTGTTAGTTTAAAATGTTTAGTTTAGATTGATCTTTCTCTTCTTACATATTTCCTGCATGATATTAACTGTATTTTGTGTGATAGAAATACACATTTCACCTTTTATTCTGAGACAAAAGTTGACAGTAGTTTTTTTACAAATGGTAAAACAGTAACCTGCATACTATGTGGAGATAACTTACAGAGACAATTATGATCTCTCTAATATCAAAAATCAACTATTTTCTCAGTATTCGAAAAACCACAAGTGTTAACTTCGTCATTACACGTTTTAACATGTAACTTAGTTTTTCTTTAAATTGTTGTAAAAGACCTAACTTTCCATACTTTTTGTTTCTTTTCCATTGACAATTGATTCAGCTATCTTTTTGAACTCGTCATCCTGTTGGTTAAAAACATCTTCTAGGTTCCTCAAATCTTCACTTTCTCGTAAGCTGTCATGGAAATATCTATCAGCAGAAGGTACATAGTCTGTCTTCTCTTTATCATCATTTTCTTTTAATTTACTGTCATTGAGGACTTTTCTTTCCTCTTCCTTAATTTCTTCTACTGTCTTCTCATCTTTCATATTTTTCCCCTAAGATTATACCATCACATTTATTGCAACCAAACATATTGGAGTCTATTATCATTTGTTACCACAAAAAAAGTGTTGTCAACTATTAAAGAAAGTTCAATTCAGTTCCAACTAGTGTTGTTTCAATGATAAACAAAATACCCGTTGATATTGACTTCAATAATAAGCACTAATACAAATTAAATTATGAAACTAATTTGTGAAAGTTGTATCACTGAGTAAATATGTAATACACTTCACCTATTTGTCACACACATTTTGTTACTTTGTAATTGTCACCTTCTGCTGCACATTAAACATATTTAGTATTAGCTTCATAAAATATCTGATAAAAAAACAAATTATTCCTACAAACAAAAATAAAATTTGTTTGTTGCTAACCTTTTCCTTGTCTTTTAGTAAGTTTTTCAGTCCAATTTCTTGAAGACCGTAGGCAGCAAGTTTGATGAACATCACATATCTAGCTCTGTTAAGACATTCAAGGAGAGTACAATGTAAACGTTTATATTCAAGTAATCATCCGGGAAAATGTGAAAGAGGGAATTTCTTGTGGAATTTTTGGCATCAAGCCCAATTTTATTAATATGACATCTTTTGGAATATATTTAAAATTAGTTTTGAAATAAAGACTGGGAAAAGATAACGTTCCACTGAGAATTATTTGTATGAAGTTTATATTTTTGATAGTTGTTTTCCATATTTTTTGGTCTACAGTAACCCTTAACAAAACATTGTGACATATATGGTCCATTGCAATAAATACTTCTAATATGAATGCTACAAAATAAATGTAAGAAAAGAAAGTACTGCCATGAAATAGGTAACTTTGTTATGTTGCACCTACTCGACAAATGCATCAACAAGTTCCTGACGCAGACAGCACAATTTGTGTTTATGTTCCCGGGGAAACCCTAGAGATTGGGCTTCTTTGCTGAGTCCTTCGTCGTCCACTGAAGACAGAAGAAGTAGAATGTGAAAAAATAAGGTTGTAGAATGAAGTTAGTTGAACATTTTAAATCATATTTTCAAGATATTTTTTTTCGAGTTGGATTGTATTAATTAGACATGTACAAGAAATAAAACACAATGTTACATACGAATAAGACACAACATTGCATGAATAAAACACAGTGTTACATATAATTCATCACTAAAAGGCTGATATTTGTACTTACAAATAAGGAAGTTTACGTCGGGTGGAAATGCTCTCAGTAAATCCAGGATGTAATGTCTCCCATCGTTACCTATAATACCCTAGAAATATATGACAGTTAGTAATATGTACTTTCTTATGCTCTATTCTAATCTTCAGAGCTTTTATGCAAGCAAAATACAATTCAAATGTGTGTATTAATCAATAAAAGTACTTTCATAGATGAACACTGAAAGATGGTTGCTGATATCATGATCAAAAGCTTGGGAATTAAAAACAGGAGAATAACTTGTTGTTTTGTGTGGGCAGATGTGTATTATACATACATATATAAATCATACATATCTGAAATGTGTCATTGAAAATCACTCTGAACAAATGACATGGAAATTTTCTGTGTTTCAAAACTGAGGAACAATTATTTTACTGCAAAAGTGGTGAAAACCTCTAGATTCTATTGAAGGAAAAAGAATCAATTCAAGATAAAATAACTGCCTATGGAGTTTATTTTTAACATGCAGTTCAGGTATACAAGACTTTACTTCACTGGATACTGTATCTGTCTTGCAGTTATCTGTAATGTTGTAACTTACCTTACATTCTACAGAGGAGCACAGTTCAACAATGTCACCCTTGTCATTAGCAACTCTGTGGAGAAAAAAAACACAAGAAAATAAATATACAGAAGACAAGTTTATAATAAAACCTAATCTCATATACTGAAGGCAAGTGAATAATAAAAACATAAGACTAAAAGACTTAAGATTTAATACAATACTTCTTTTAGTGAAAAAAACAAACAAAACATTTATTAAATCCTAGGATATTATTAGTAAATAATAACTAAGGAATACAAAGCTTTAAAACATGAAATTCAATGTACTTAACTTTTTTCAGCAAATTCAGAACAATTGTTCAAACACCATTTTTATGATTGCTGAAAATCTACAAAATTAGAAAGGTTTTTCTTTGTAATCTGATACAGAGAAATAGAATATTTTTAAACTTTTATTCATTCGAAATTTACAAAGCCATTTTTAATCAGTTATTCTCCATATGAAAAAGCTACTTTCAATTATACTTTGTAATCATCATTTATATGACAAAATATTAGTATTTTCTTACTTATGAGGAAGAATCTTCAGATGTTGCCCAGCTTTATCCAGCTGCAGAAGAAAAGAAAGTAAAATACATCAAAAAAGTTGCTTAAATACATATGCTGAGGGAAAAATAATCCACATTAACAAAGAAAGAAATACACACGGTTATGGAAAACATTAGTCAAATGGAGAATGTTAAGATCAACTTAAGTAGTGTAAATACTAAAACACTGTAGTTGTTCACCTTACAATTATTGTTATCTGTCCTACAGTAGCAGTACTACTTTCCTTAAAAGTGTTACAACCGTCGTTATGAGTCCTTCAGTAGCAAGGTGCAGTACTACTTTCCTTAAAATTATTACAACCGTCGTTATGAGTCCTTCAGTAGCAAGGTGCAGTACTACTTTCCTTAAAATTGTTACAACCGTCGTTATGAGTCCTTCAGTAGCAAGGTGCAGTACTACTTTCCTTAAAATTGTTACAACCGTTGTTGTCAGTCCTACTGTAGCTGTTTCAGGTGCAGTACTACTTTCCTTAAAATTGTTACAACCGTTGTTGTCAGTCCTACTGTAGCTGTTTCAGGTGCAGTATTACTTTCCTTAAAATCCCTACAATTACTGTTATCATACCACCCATTCTTGTTTCAGAAAAAATTACTACTTTCCTTGAAATTTCACAGTTTTGTTTTCCAACAAAACGACCATAAAATTATTTTATAATTTTGTGTAGTGCCCTTTCTAGTTTTCAGATATTTCTAAATAATGAACTAAACCTTTTATAAAAATCTGATTCTACACTATATATGTAAGATTCTCTTAACATTTTCTTATAAAGAAGAGAACAAAATAGCACTAAGTAGAATGGCTGATCATTAGCTTTTTGTTCGGTTTCCTGATAAATATTGTATCCTTGTATGAATTTTATGGTTATATTTTATTTTGCATAGAAACCAAATTTCTATTTTGTGAAATAGTAGCCTTGGCCTTTTACCCCTAAAAACCAAAAAGGTTCTTTGCCATTTCCTAGGGAAGTGACTTGCTGTGAATTGATTAAAATCTGCTCTACTGTGGAAAACTTGATAAATAAAAAAGGTTGAGAACTTTTTAAAAACTGCTGAAAGTTATTAGAAAACATACCAATTCCATGTATTTCTTATGAGAGACAACAGTTTTTCCAAAGTCAACAGACCCATACACCACTGACTGCTCTTGTTCTCTCTCAAGGATCCCTGTGTAATGTAATTAATATTCATCACCAACGTACAAAATAAATACATGTCAATTCTCCTCTGCTAATATTATTAGCTAATTATTAATTTTTTTCCTTCAGTGATAAAAAAACAAGGAAATTAAAATGTAATTCATAAAAGTCAGCTGATACAGAATCAAAATTTTAGTAATGATGAACTTGAAATTAAAAAAAAACAACAAACAAACTGAGCTCATTTTTAACATTCAGTGAAATACCTGGTATAATTGACTGGCAAGTAACTCTGTAACCTCTGTAGTCAACCACAACAGTTCCAAGAGTGTACAACCCATCAACATCAACAGTATTGTAAGCTCGAACTCCTTTCAGGTCATTACACTGACAAGAAAAAACAAACAAACTGAAATCAGGACACAAACACAGAAAATAAAAAAATATTCACCAACTATATTCTCAAGAAAACACAACTGTTCATACTACCATTAGAAAAACAAGACTTCCTCAGTACTTTTTACACTACACTACCTCTAGAAAAACAAGACTTTCTCAGCACTTTTTATACTACACTACCACTAGAAAAACAAGACTTTCTCAGCACTTTTTACATTATACTACCACTAGGAAAACAAGACTTTCTCAGCACTTTTTACACTACACTACCACTAAGAAAACAAGACTTTCTCAGCACTTTTTACACTACACTACCACTAAGAAAACAAGACCTTTCCACACTTTTTAATGGGTTACCATTAAAAGCACAAGACTTCCTCAGTGCTGCTTATATTACATTACCACCAGTAGAATAAGCTTCTTGATAAAATTCTAGCAAAAAATTGTTTCTGATGAATAAAAGTATATTGTAATTATAATATGAACTTTTCATATAGTTTGTACTTCCAAAATCAATTAATTTACTCAAAATAATTTAAATGTTGAATTAGTGATAAATTTTCAAAGTAAAATAACATTGAATTGACATAATATCATGAATTAAGACTGAATCTCCAATGGGGAGAATTTTTAGTCATTTTTTTACAATTATTTAATTTAAACCAAATATTAAGAATGAAAAAAAAAGCATCAAACATATTCTCTTTTCACTAAATAACACAACATTAATGTAACATGAGGCAGGAAAAAATATTAGATTTTAAACTCACAGGTGCAACAAAAGCAGCAGCATCCCCTCCAAGTTCTTTATAATTATCCTTCACATCAAACCCCAGGCTGAAGAAAATGTTGTTCCATATAAACATTTGCATTCTATATAGAAAAAAAAGAGCTTTACAACTCTCTTGACAGATAAAATAGGTAGTATTGTTTATCACACAAACATAGGCCTTCCAACCTGTTTATATAACAAAAAAAAGCTAAAAACAATAGGCTGTAACATAGGATTTTATAAGTATTCTGTCTCATCTCTTTGGCAAACAGTCAATTTTTCAACCTGAATCACTCCAAGAATCATAATATCAATAGAATACTTACCAATTTATCAGGCTTTTGTTATGATTTTTTTTACTGTTACATTACCTTTATCTTGTTCTTCAAAGTTCCATTTTGAATAATCTTTTATGAAAATAAATATGGGTCAGATTGGTTGTAAAAGATACAGGTTTTATAAGTCACTTTCACAAAAAGAGAGAGAGAAAAAAAAAACACTTTCAAAATATAGGTCTTAATATGTTTATAGGTTTACATAGGCTCATTGAGAGGAATGTAACACAAACACTTAAGAAACAAGGTACGTGTGGCTAAGCAATGACAATTTTCAGATGTAGAAAAATTCTAGTGAATTAAGTTAAAACACCTTAAGAAACAACCTGTTGTAGGAAAAATATTTGCAAGCAATGATGGTAGAATAACCTTTCACCTTACAGATTAAGTCTAAATTGAACTTGATCAAAAGACAAGTTTTGTGAATTAAACAAATATGCTTACTTTGTTTCGTCTCCTGGATTAATAGCCATGATATTCCCATCAATTACAGCCATAGCTCCCCGAGTTGCTGCTGCAACAAAATCACTATGAACTTTAAAAATTGCACGTTCCCGAAGCAGTCTTTCAGGTAGTGTCTTTTTAGGGATTTCTCGAGTTGTCTGTAGTTCTTCATTCCAATCCCTAGTCTGCCCAGGTATGTGCTCTTCATAACCAAGTTTAGAGGAAAAGGCTGGAATTAAAGAGAAATATTAAAACTTACTTTAAAATACTATGTCCTAAATCTTTAGTTTGAAATACTGAAGGAATATAAAAAGAGTTACAAAAAATCCATCTTTGTTTATTGCAAAACATTTATATAAGAAAGTACATTCATTGTTCTCTGGATTATTACTACTTGGTAACAAATATAATTTCTAATCAAACTGTCTATAGCCCATATTCACAAAGCAACATAATTTTTTATATAATCTAATAACAGCTGCTCTTGGATTATACTGTGGTATAGATAATTACTATTCATAATAAAAACTATTTTTGTAGTCATGTATTTATCTACTGCAAAACTTTGATACCACTTTATTTGTTGAATAAATGTTTTAAAATGGAAATTCAAGAGAAATATTTTTATTTAATAACAATTTTAAGACTAAATATTAGTGATAATTTTACAAATATTAAAAAAGTTTTTACAAACTAAAATTTTGACACAAGAAGATGCCAAATGGCAAAGATATTCATATCCATTACAAATCTAAAAACAGTGTTTACAACTTTTAATCACTAAGCATAAACAAAAATAGATTAACTGGTTTGTAAAAGCTAGCCTCTCAAATACTTATTGGCTAGCATTATTTATTCATTTCTACATTATTGAGATGAGACTTTTTGGTGATACTGACAGAAGCAAGGTCTGTGTGTGTTTAATTTAAAATGAGGTTTAATTTCTATAAAAAAATCTGAATTTATCAACTGACTTAAGTTTATTAAACAAGTTAATGAAATCTTTTGCTTGAATACAGGTTCGAATTGGTTTAGATAATTAATGGACTGAGATAAATATATGAGTATTGTTTAACTTAAAACAACAATATGGAAATTTCCTAAATTGCACTAATATAATTTACCATCTTCTGCTCGGATAGAATCAACAGTGTGTTCCACCAAAGGTGCTGTCCATGTATAAAGCTGGTACGGTGTGGCCACCCGCTCAAATGGATGTCGCTGTGTTCGTTTTTTCTGAATTATTGCAAAGTTTCTCTTGAAAGCAGGGCTTATCTGTAAACCAAATGTTAATATTGAGCTCTGAACTACAACTCATGGGAAAAACTACTCCTTATAGTTTTACATTTATAGCTTAACTGTACAAAAACAGGAACCTGAAAAGCATATTTTCAAATCATAACGATACATGTGTTTATAACTATTTGTCAGGAGGTAATTAACATCAACAAATAGAAAATGGTACATTGTTGAAAACATTTTAAATACCACCAAAATATCATTTCACAGTAAAAAACACTAGAAAAATTGGACAAAATCTGCCGTGCTAAACCCTCTGAAGGCTTATTTGAATTAAAGATCTAATTTACAGCTTTTAAACTGTGGAATTTATTATAATTGAAGTCATATATAAACAGTAAGGAATTATTTGTACTTGCCTGTACTCTGTTAAAAACAAACATTTTCAAATAGCCAAATAAAACCATTGATACTTTTTTCCACTGTAACTTATGTAATATTTTTTAACATATAGAAGATTATTTAAAAGTGTGTGTGTGTGTGTTTAGCTATCATGAAATATATTTTTATTTGGATATTCATAAGAAAGTAGCACCTTACCTGCCCTAAAAGGTCTATTAAAGAATGATAAACATGTTTAGGGTTAGCAGGTTTAGTATTCAATTCTTCTTCTGTTGTCCTCAAAAATGAAAAAAAAAAAAAAAGAGCTTTAAAAGCATAGAACAGGATATATTGTTCCAAATATATTATATAGTCTTTACTAACAAAAAAGTTGTCTTATGTAACAATTTCTTCCAGAAACCACTTGGATAATGCGGGAACTTAAAAAAGATGAAAACAAGTCAAAACTGATAGTTTGTTTCCAACTTAAGAAGCTGTGAGCAAATTGTTACAAACGTTTTTAGAAATATAAATTATTAATTTTCAACATAACATGAAAATTTATTTATACATTACATACTAGCCACAAATATAAACTTACTGATTAACATAGAATCCTCGAGTAGATGCTGTGATATAAACTCGTTTCTCCTCCAGTGTAACCACATAAAGATACAATAAATCCCCTACCATGAAAACATCAAGTTACATAATGCAGATTCAATTAAATTCAACATATTTATTTTACATTTCAAGATTTAAAAAGTACTAATCACAATGTATATTATGGATTTACATAGATATTATAATTACAATACTAAACATGTAACATTAATATTATATTCTATAATATTTTGGGACAACATGGGACCGGTTGGTCCATCTCGGATGTTCCATCCTCAAAACTAAATTAAAATGATTAAAAAAAAAATTTAAACTCAGCCCTTTTCATTTATATACTTATCAAGCTTTTTTTAAATTTACTGCCTGTACAACATCTGAAGGCAACCCATTCCAAAGGCCAACAACCCTGTTAGAAAAATAAAACTATCTTAGCTGAAGATGACTCCTACCTTGCCAAAATTTATATTTGTGTCCCCTAGTTCTACTATTCTCATACACGATACATCAACATTATCAATTCCCTTTACAATCTTAAACACCTCAATCAATTCCCCCCCTAACTCTTCTTTTTTTTCAAGAGAAAACCATTTGAGTGATTTCAGCCTCTCGTTGTATGACAACCCCTCCCTCCCAGGCACCATTCTAGTAACCTTTCTCTGAACCTTTTACAACAATTCAATGTCATTTCTATGGTAAGGAGCCCAAGACTGAACACAATATTCCCAATGTGGACTAATCAGTGACCCGTACAATTAAAGTATAACCTCTTTAGACTTGTATTCAATATTTCTATAGCTACAACCTAAAATCCTATTTGGCCTACCACTAGCAACAGCACACTGCTTGGATGGCTTAAGAGACTGATCAACTATTACACCAAGATCCCTTTCCTTCATAACACTATTAAGGTTATTCCCATCCAAATTATACTTATAATTCAAATTATGATAACCCACATGCATTACGTTGCATTTATTATAATTAAAACCCATCTGCCATTTATTTGCTCAACTCACTAAATGATCTATATCCCTTTCCAAGTCAGCAGCATCCTCTTCACAGCTAGCAACACCCAAGACCTTAATATCATCTGCAAACTTAACCAATTTATTGACTATCCCTTCATTTATGTCACTGATGTAAATCAAAAAGAGCAAAGGTCCTAAGACTGAGCTCTGAAGTACCCCACTTGTGACATTAATCCAGTTTGACTGAACTCCATTTGTAACAACCCTCTGCTTTCTTCCATCTTATTCTGGTATGGCTCTTAAATTTAGACACAATGATAAATATGAACACATAACTCACATTTAAACAAACCATCACTACACAATCTCCATAATAATTAATACATTTATCTCAAGAGTATATCATGGTTTGAAAGCCCAAAGATTCAAAACAATACCAAAACTATGAATCAAATCTTGTAAAGCTGCACATGCTCATTTTTACCTTCAATTTTCATTCAAACCTGCCTTTAGTACCTTGTTTGTTGCTTGACAAATACTGGGACAAACTTTTAGGAATCTGTTTGAATAAAACTTTTCCTTTGTTTTTAAATACTACTAAGTACAAGATATATCCCCATCTTGGAAATTCTAAAACCCTGATCTAAACGCATCTTTATGATCTGAGTGTACAAACATCTTGTGTCAGAAAGGGCTGTTACATACCCTTCACATGAAAATCAATCAATTTGTGCTAGCATCACATTACGTATGAAACACCAAAGAATGTCAAAATGGAGTCCTGATACATTCTGTTCCATCATAGCTATATATCAGCTATGGCTGTCACATAACTTGCTTATATTCATATTCAAAACTGTTTTAATATAAGATACTCAATTTATGTAAAACTTTGTCTTTGAACTATGGTTTTTATTTTATAACTTATAATTAAGTATTATTTTTAGCCTTTGATAAAAGTTAAGCTCATTTGATAAAGGCCTGCAAGCATAATGAAATATTAATTTCTATGTGGAGCATATATTTAATGAAATATTAATTTCAAACTCAAAAAACTAAAGAAAAATAGAAATTCACTCATCCTATGCTTACAGTAGAGTCAAGTCTGCATGTCATCACAACCTTTATACACAGTTACATTCAAAATCTTATTAAACTTTATTATCCGTGTGTGTCAGTAAGATTGACACCAAAATGTGGTTTATAATTCAAATGTTTATATTATCTAAGTTATAATTTTTAATGTTAAAAGGAAATATTTAAATAAATTATCAGTATTCATTTCTCTGTCACATGATACATCTGTGCTCTGAATTGCCCCTTTCTAAAATTTTCTTTCTACCCTCATGATTTTTTCAGTGTCCAGTTAACAAGATACTATAGATATTGACAAGCCAGAATACAAATTTAAAACCTCACATCTTCTTGTTTTGCTGAAGTACAAAAAAAAATATCAAGCTCATATGACATACCCCTCCAATGTCATTCTGTCTTTCAATAAATGTCAAAAGTTCACAGATGAATGAAGATTGAGAATTTTTTTAATATCTCCTTTTAAAAATCAAGAAATTAAAATTTAGATACTAATAAAATTCAAATTATAAATTATATTTTTATGCAAAGTTTATTACATTGATAATAAAGTAGTTTAATTAAACTTTAAATGAAAAGTTAAAAATAAGATTAGAAAATGTATTATATCACATAGTGTGAAATGAAACCTATATGACCAGTTATAAAACTTTCACAGAAATTTAAAATATGATAATGATTAAAAATTTCATAAAAATACAGCATATTATAAAGATCGCTGATAACCAAACTACAAAATTTACATATTACACTATATTTAAATTTACTCATTACGTACCATTTGAATCAGCAAGAGTTTGTGAATTTCTTCTAATGGACATATTTTGATGCTCATATGATTGCAAAGTTCAAATACTGACCACCTAAAACATTTGTAATTGATATTACGTAAGACATAATTTCATTTTGCAAAATCAGGCTGTAAATGATCACTTTTCACTGAATTTACATGTAATTATAAATGATATAATAAAACTGTATTTCTGAACAATGAACACAAATAGACTAAACAAAAAATACTTTTTACATATGCAAACCTAGTTAGATTTGACAAGTTTACCTGATTATCTTGGTATTAAGTTAAGACTGCTAAAAAAATGTGTCAAGCATATTAATTGCAGCATATATTTTCTCAAAAAAGTGCAAGATTCAATACCAAAAAATAAATAAAAAATTAAACACCTATAGTGGCTTGGTGATGTATTTATGTCAATACGTTTGATATCAAACTGTAGATTATAATTCAAATTTTAGAACCATACATTACTCAATTTCTTAATTTAAAAGTAAATATTAAAAGACACAGATAAACATCAATTTTTGTGTGTCATGTGGTATGTTTAATGTAGCACTGGGTCAAAAGAGATGTTTGTGAAATCAAAATACCAAGTCTACAGTTTTATACAAATTATAAATTATAGATATTGACAAGCTACAATATAAAATAAGAAGGTCTTATTTTTCTATTTGGTAAGATATTACTCATGTAATAAATCAAACACAGTGACACCCCACCTACCTCCTTCCATTTTTGGAAACACTCCCTTATATACACTTACTTCTATATACAACATGAATAACCAATCGGAAGCTCAGAATGTCCCCCTAGTGGTTTTCTCAGCTTTCTAACGTGACTAGCGTCATTTCTTTCTATTGAACCAAGATTTTAATGAGGTAGGTTGTGTTTTTAGTTTGCTTGAAATTTCATATTTTTTTTAGTAAAATACATCTGTTACTAAGCTTGATATATTATAGTTGAATTCTATGGTGTTAATGTAGTAACTTACGATTTTTTAGTTATTCAACTGTATACATGAAAGCTTAAAAAAATATTTCGTTTCATATCCTCCATGTGCAAAATTTTTAAAGGCTTAGCAACTGAGTACAAAGGTTGTAACTAGAAGAGATAATTTTTTGCTTTTCTTCTTTATTTACTGTTCTGTGTTTTAGGAAAAATATGTTTAAGAACTTATTTGAAAATAACAATACTCTATATACATATATAATGTATAATAATTGAAATGTGACTGTATTTTACAAAATACTAGTTGACTAAAACACAGCCAAGACAAGTTACTTTGTACAGACCAAAGGTCAGTTTTATGTTATTTGATACAATAACATGAGTACACATAAGCCACATCATTGTGACTTCTGTATTGTTAGTCAGGCACGGATTAAAGGACAATATAATAAAAATATTATATATATACATGTATAATGTTATGAGATTAAAGCTATTTAGTCTAAACATTTGTATTTTCATGTTATAAATTGTGTTCATTATAGAATGAAAGAGGCATGATTATGTTTATTTCCTAATTTTTATGGTGATTGCAAGATCCTTCAAATCTATTGAACTCGTACAGATATTAATTACTGAAAATAACAGCTAAAATATAGTTTTTTCGTAAGAAATGTTTGATAACTATCCAGACATTATAAAGATTTCGCATATGAAATTTCAAAATTTTCTGATGCATAAAAGTATTTTTAATATCAAAATGAAATACTGCACGATAGATAGGAAAGATGTGAAAAGAAAAAAAAGGTGTGAGAGAAACACTGCTTTACAAACCTTACAACTTAATAAAAAATTATATAT